TGCGACCTGTGGAGATGGATTGAACCTTTGTCATCGCCGAGAACTCCAACTTGGACTAAGAGCCTAACGAGGTTGGAGAAACATCGGCCGCGTGAGAAAAGGGTGCAGTTCAAAATGCAACTGAAAGCATTCCTTTTCATCTGCTGGGTGCCTTGCTGCAGTGGAATGGAAGGTGCAGCTCCAGATGAACATGCGTTTTTGCAGCAGATGTGATGTCAATGTTGGCGACCGCGGCAACAAATGCGGCTTCAGCAGCAGAAAGAGCCATTGGTCTGATGTCAAGTCAGGCAACCTCCAGTGGCAGTGCACATTCAGCTGGTGATGGTGGTTTACAGGCTGCAACCAGGATCCTGAAGAATCCTGACGTAGTTCAATTTTTGCAGTTGGTTGAGTTTTGGTGACCCTCGTTTCCAAAGTTGCTTTGACCAGCTGGACAATTTGGGCCCCTGCAGATGAAATCCCAACCTATACCGAAGGCGAGCGTGAATTGAGTGTGAAGCTTTTTGCCACTTTGGAATCATACCTAAAGGGCCGTTGCCTGAGCCTCGTCAAGCGCATGGCCACATCCAAGGATGGTTTCAAACTTTGGCGTGCCCTAGTTCAAGAATAAGAACTTTCTTCGAGGCGATGTAGTCTGGCTCTTGCACAAACCCTCAGCAAATACCCGCAGTTCAGTGGCAGCAAGACCATCATGGAGCAGATCCTCTCCTACGAGCAGTTGGTTCAACAGTTTGAGGAAGCTTCTTCATCGACCTATCCCCCCTGATCTGAAGATTGCAACGCTTGTGAAATGCAGTGGACAGAAGCTGAGGGAGCACTTGCAGCTGACCATCAACGAGCACACAACGTATGCCCCGCTCAAGGAGACCATGATGAGCTATGACAAGGCGCGTCGTGCCTGGACTCAAGAGTCTGTTTTGAAGTCACTGCGAGGAACTTCATCTTCAGATCAAGGTCCACAACCAAGGGAAGTTGATCGCATCGACAACAAAGGCAAGGGCAATAGCAAGAACAAGTCCAAAGACGAGGGCAAGAGCTGGTGGAACTACGGCAGTGTTGGTTCGAGCGCTTTTGGTTGAGGACGCGGAAGAGGCAAAGGCCGTGGAAACAAAGGTAAAGGCAAAGAAAATCCAAAGGAAAATCCAAAACCAAAGGCAAAGACTATGGCAAAAAGGGGAAGAACAAAGGTAAAGTTGATTCCCAGCAGTGTAGAATTTGCTTTGAGTACGGGCATTGGTCTCGTGAATGCCCCAACCACATAGTGCAACAAGTTGTTCAAGGTGATCATGTGCAACAACCACAAGTCCCTGCTCAACATGCTGCTGGACAAGGAGGTCAACACAAGTTCAAAAATCCCTTTAATCAAGCTAGCCTTCCTCTACTACAGCTTCAACTGTTCGCAGAACCTTCACGATCCCGGTGGGTGTGCCGATGCTCACAAGTTCTTCAGAAGCCTCAGTCAGGATGGTTACTGCTGGTGATGAGATTGACAAAGATGCGGTGATCCTTGACCGCGGTTCACATGCCTCATTGTTGCCGTTGCCCTATGGCCAATGTGGAAATGATGCAGTTCGACAAGAAGTTCAACTGCGTGATTGCCAGGGATCGCATCTCAAAGTTACAGTAACTGGCTACAGAACAGTTTCTTTGATTGTACAAGATGGCGATGGTGAGCTTGAGCATGCATTCCTCATTGCAGACGTGAAGAGATGCATTCTTTCCTTGGGTCAGTTGTATCGAAATGGATGGTGCGTGAAACAGATGGACGATGGTTCAGGACCATACCTTGAAAGCCCACTTGTGAACTATGTGTTCCTGTGTTTTACCAGCGCAACAGCTTGGCAATGAAGGCAACAGTTGTCGTGTGGAGCAGATTGAAGATGAGGAGATGCTTTCACCTCATGCCTATGTCAGAGCGATTGTGGAGCTGGAAGATAGGTTTCGCAGGGCCAACCAATCGCAAGTTGCTGACGATCCCGTCATGCGATGTGTCAGCACGCACTTTGTGGATCCCAGACCAACATGGGCTGGCAACCTTTGGCTTCAGAACTACGTTGGCGCAGAGAAGGTCAACAGCTGAAGAAGATCATGGCTGGTATGTTGCTGAAGTGAGCCGCAAGCACTTGAAACTTGATGATCCTTTTGGACCCATACCAGATCTTGAGAGCTATGCGCAAGGCGAGGATGTCATCGTGCTCACGATCGTTTCTGGGCTTTGGCGAACTTTGGTCATTTGTTGGATGCTGGTGGCTTTGCATTTGCGGAGCCCTATGAACCTGAATCTCCTTATCGTGGTCAACAGGACGATGATTTGCTTGTGGAAGGTTTGGAGATCAGATCAATCTTCTTTTGGATGAAGGACGTGGTGAAACCATGGGCCGTTATATCCCTGAACATCAAGAAATTGCCCCAGCACTTCGAGAAGATGCTGCAGCTGATGCCATTGTTGTGAACGATGTACAGGTGACACCATACAGCTCAGATGAAGTTTTGCGCACAGCTGGAAGGTTCCTAGGAGTTTCAACAGCAGGTTCAAGATGCCCCTGTAAAGCCAACTTTGAGGGAGAGAAAGTTGCACAAGGTGACACACATCCCATTCGAAAAGTTGTGCATGTGTTTGCGACTTCAATCCAAAAGCAGGTCCAATCATCAAAAAGCTACACGCTCACCAGGTGAGCAGTCAAACAGCTCGAGCTCAAGGGAAGTGTCTGATGACACATCTGGAAGACAAAAGGAAAGTGAAGTTTCGAGCAGAACACCCACTCAGAGCTTGGGCAGTTATCCATGGTGCTTGGCTGCTGAACAGATATCATACTTCCTCATCGACGGGAACAACAGCCTTCATGAGCCTTCGAGGTCGGCCCTACAAAGGGCGTATCTACGCTTTTGGTGAGGAAATGTTTGCTCTTGATCCTCTTCAAGCCAAGTATTCGACACAGTGGCGCAGAGGAATTTGGCTGACAAAAGATGGAGCCGATATGGATGCGGTGGCTATCTCAGAGAATGAGGTCATGTGAAGTCGAGCCATCAGAAAAGTGGCTGAGCATTGGGATGCTGAACTTGCCATGGCGCTGACAGCTGGACCACGGAACATGCGTCATGGTGTGCACACTGAGATGACATGAAGCTGGCAAAACCACCTGAAAGCCCTTTACCCTCTTGCATGTACCAGTTGGTGGCTTTGAGCCAGAGTATGACAAAAATGAGAAAGCGGCTTTGAAGTATGCCAAGGAGAACCACATGGAGGATGTGGATGACGTTGCGGATGAGGTTGAGGCATCAAAGGAAGGCTGGGCGTCAGCCAGTGTCCAATGAAGCGGAGAGTGGCAGAAGCAGAGGCGACAAAACGAGCACAACAAGAAGGTGACGATGTCCCTGCCAAGTTTGTGAAGTTTGACCCAGAAACTGCAATTTCTGAGCCGAATCCCAAGCAGCCCAGAACTACGCTCTACAGTCCTGTATATGCAGATGAAATTTCATGCAGTCCTGCAACCTCTTCAACCTCCAGACATGTGCGCAGACCTTATGACAAGGACAAGCTGGAGTGTGGTTTGGCTGAAGAACCTTGGGATTGGGAGCTATGTGAATCCCATGTCAACCAGAGTTTGCAGGTGAGAAGGTTGAGATTTCAGAAGATGAGAAGAAGCGCAGAGGATTTTTCGACGAAGGTGCTCCCAACTGTGACTGAAGATGAGTTGGCGTGGCTGGATCAAGAAGCTGTGCATGCAGAGTTGGAGCGCCTGAGGGGCCTTGATGTCATTGAGGACATGGATGGACATGGGAGAAGAGCTGGTGGTGGAAGAGTGCATGAAGTTGGACACCAGATTGGCGAGAGACTGGAGGTTCCGTGAGAATCAGTGGAAGCGTCGAGCAAGGCTGGCGGCTAGAGAAATTCGTGATGGTGACGCCAGCAACTATGAAACTTTCAGTCCAACTACACCGCTAGCAGTGGTCAAGATGCTGATTGTGATGAGCCTTTTGCATGGCCTTTCCATCGCATCAGTTGATGTTGGAGATGCTTTTCTTCAAGTCCCTCAGACTCCTCTTGTTCTCATCGAAGTTCCTCTTTGGGCGCTACATTCTGGTGAAGTTGGAAATGGCAAAAGATTTTGGGTGTTGAAACGATGTTTGCCAGGGCAACGTGTGGCAGCTTCGGAATGGAACAAGTTCTTCACCGAGATCTGTGAGAGGCACAGCTTTGAGAGCTTCCAAGGAACCATTTTCAGGCACAAGAAGCAGATGGCTTTCATTTCAGCACACATTGATGATTTGCTGATTGTGGATTCCAAGAAATTCATCAACAACCTCTATAAGGAATTGCCCAAGGAACTGTGATTGAAAATTGAAGGACTTCTTCAACCAGGTGATGATGGCAGTATCTTCTATTTGAAGAGAGAGCTGCAGTTCAACGAGAACGGCATTGATGTTTCCCCGAGTTCAAGGTACATTCCCAAACTGGCTGAATTGCTCAAGGTGTATGACCGACGTGGTCGTACTGCTCCACATCATGGATGTTTGCAGATCTATGATCCTGAAGCAACTGCAGAAGATCAGTACCTCAATGCAGAGGATGCCAAACTTTCCCGGTCTGCCTTGGGGATTTGCATCTATGTGACGTTGTGACATACAACATTCAGTTCGAGTTCTGGCGACCTACATGGCCAAGCCCACCATGACTGCAATGGGAGCTGTCAAGAAGTTGACAAGCTACTTGGTGCACACCAAGGACATGAGACTTCAGTATCCAAAGGTGGACATGCATCAAACAACTATGCAGCGATGGTATGGTGGAGGAGCGGCGTGATGCAAAGCCGTACATGCTGGAGTTGTTTAGTGACAGCGGTTGGGCTTCATGCAAAGTGAGCACAGCCATTCGCGATCACAGACTTCAATATTTTTAATGCGGCTTCGTTTGGATTCTACCAGTGCCCAGGCATTCTTCTCTCGTCTTGGACCAGCTCAACACCAAAACTTTATCCAAAGAACGTCGTGAATTCCTGATGAAGCGCATTGTACTTCAGAGCGACATGTTTGAAGCTGATGGTGATGAAGCATTTCATGGCAGAAAGAAGCAACTGGTGAAGTTGGTCAACATGATCATGGCGAGTAACCTACAAGGTTGCGATGTTGGAGACCATGACTTCAGAACAATGTCATGGAGTTGGAAATTTGCGATGGGGGTGATCTTTTCCCTTTTGATGCTGGTGGTGCGACTTTTCCTGAAGTTGACATCAAAGATGGAAGAGCTTGCGAAGTACAAGGAAGTTTTGAAAACGGTGCGAGAGGCAGCACACCTTGAGAGAGATGATGACCCACTTTGCTGCGATCTTTGTGGAGGAGACTTTCTTGAGGAAGATGCAGAAGAAGAGCAAACCAATGGTGATGGAGATGAGACTCTTTCAGAAGCGTCATTTGCAGTCCACGATGGAAGAGGTGGGCGATGTGGAGGAATGGACCAACATCCATTGTGGCTATGCCTACGATGCTGGAAGTGACTATCAAGAAGACGATGCAGCTGGTTTGGATACATCGAGATCAAGATCTAGGGGTTCCAACAACAATGAGCCCCAGGCAAGGACAATGCCCAAACCACGTGCAAAACAGGTTGCAGGGCGCATCGCAATGGACACTGCGTTGGACATGGCCGAGGCGATTGAGAACAGTGGTGCTGGTCCCTCATCGTCTATGGAGCCTCGAAGTTTGGGAGTTGTCAAAGACTCCAACTACCTTTTGAGCAGCGTTCCTGTGGCCAACTTTTTCCACATCATGCCCGTTCCTCGAGAACCTTTGGCACTACATGACTATCGATGGGATCTACTTGGACAAGGAATTGGCCCAGAGAATTTGCTCGTGATCAAGTGCTGAAATCTTTCCAGATCGATTCCTTTGATGGAAAACCATATGAAGCGTCAAAAACATCTACGTCTTATTCTACGACATCTTCAAATCCGTTTGGTCATGTTTCGGTAAACCTGAACGATGGGCAGAAGCAGCAGAACAAGTTCGAGCATGGGTCAATCACGATAGCGAAGGTGAGTACTTCGAGAATGCAGAAACCGATGCTGGTGATTCGATCTTTGATGATGACGATGATGATGATGGTGAAGGAGAAGAAGAAGAAAGGGAAGATGATGATGATGATGACGATGACGACCACGCGTCCCAGCCTGGAGAAAATTGAGATGGCAGGTCATGGGACTATAGCGATGATGACCGCGATGGGCCAGGGCGTGGTGAAGACCAAGGCCGAGTCGCGGGTGGTGATGCTTCGGGCGCTGCGGTGTGAGAGAAGCTTAGATATAGCACAGTGGCACCGAAAAGAGAAACCCGATGAGCTGACATGAGCTCTGAGGTGCCGATCTAACAGCAGAATAAAGTAGTGACATGCTGCGGTAAAGACTAAAGTAGTGAAAACACCAGACTTTAGAGGTGGGGTCAAATAATAGCATGAGCTGTAACACCTCACATGTCAGCATGTGCACCGATGATGCAATTGACCGCAGTGACTCCAAATCAAGGACAACGGGTGAGTGCCGTGTCTTGACATTATCTGAAAGGAGATGTGAGGTTTGGAATGGTTTGGAAAATGTAAGGTTGGGAGGTGATGTTTGGTATTATGGGATTTGGCCATTTTCAGGTTCCATGGTTTTTCTGAAAGTTACTCGTAATAACATGTGGAGCGATGTAGCGGTGTGCTACAAAAATTCACCAGACCCCACGATGCAGGTCTTACTGGGAGTCGCTGGAACGCATACGATTGCTGATTGCCTGACAGATTGCCTGTGCGATAGTTCTCCGTTTCAAGTGGGTTTTGCACATCGGGGAGCTGCCCGGGCCTCTGCGTGGCTTGGCGAAGAGTACGGAGAATCACTGAAGTATTTGGAGGAGGGACACCATCAGACACTATGTTGTGTGGGTTTGGGGATGCTTCACACACTTCTATAGCCTATACCATACATATTTTCCGAACCAACTTGAAACCTATGTGCTCCGTTGTGGTCAAAGTGAATTCAAGTGTCGCCTTTGCTATTTCAAACTGCGGTGAGGAGAATGGCTACGAAGTGGTTTTGGTGGGTCATTCCTTAGGTGCCGCCGTGGCAGCCGCCTGCTGTGTGCAGCTGCGTGCTGGCCCCGGTGCTTTGAGAACTGCGCGCTGCGTGTGCTACGCACCCCCCGCCACGGTGGACCCCAACCAAGCGGCGGAAGCGGCCAGTTATATCACCAGCGTGGTACATGACGATGATTGCATCCCAAGGATGTCCATCTTGTCACTGCTGGAGCTGTACAAAAGTTTGGTGTCATACAACTGGTTGCCAAGGGCCACGGGTTTGGTGGGAAAGATGCGAGCAGATCCGCAGCAGGCGTGGTTCCTGGAGCTGGGTGATAACGCCTTCAGGAAGACCTTGGAAGAGCAGCTGGAGTCCATTTGGAAGGAGCAAGCTGGGCAACTTGTGGAAGAGGTGAAGAAGTTGGAAAAACCTCGGCAAGAAGCCCATCCCTTGAGCATCCCTGGCTTCATTGTGCATCTCTACAGGTTGGGGAAATTGATACTTTCAAGACAAGCACAGCAAGTGGCTAAATTAAACGGATTTTGAGTGGGCTGGCACTCGGACTTACAATGATTTACACATGTTCACACCTTCTGAAGTGGATGAGAATATATCATAATAGATTCCTAGATATCCCTAGAAGATTCAAGTTACAACACTCAAGCAGCATTCCAAAAGCAGGTGCCCTGGTGGCTATGGAATCATCAAAGCCTTGGATAGCAACTTCCGAAGCATAGAGCTGTCCTCCAGCATGGTGACGGATCACTTCCTGTCTAACTACATCAGCTGCTCAACTGGAGAGGTGATTCTCACATGGTGGCATTTTGATGATGACTATTTGGTGGTAAACTGAGGGAGCAGTTCGGAACCAGGGGTACCTTATTAGTTACCTATTGAATATTGAAGCAATGGGGAGCCAAGGAGCTGTAAATTGTGTTGCACAACCGCCATCCGACGGTTTGAACACAACGTTGGCCGTCATCGGCCAACGCGAGCCAGCTTCCCCAGTGTTCCAGGGTGTTCCATATCGATTTGTGCAAAAGGAGGCAAACACCTCAGTTTATAGCTGTTTGATGCTGTTTGTCATTGTGACTGTTTGGACATTTGCTTTATCCATGTTTATCTCTGGTGGACCGGACATAGGACAAACCCATGTGGGATGATTGCAACTAAGCAATTCGGTATGATACATGGGATGTGATTCATATGTGTCCCCAAGCCCCATCTTTGGGTGCTTTTAACACTTGGGCGATTGCACCTTATCGCCGCTGCTTTCTGTATAAAGAATGTACATGAACTTGCATGTCGTCTTGGAGCCCCTCATTGTAGGAAAAGCCCCACATGTTATATATTTATAAACAATTGCCCACGTTTATGAGTGGATCATGATCCTTCTACCCACTCTACCCCATGTGGAGCTAGGTGCTCTGGAAACTTTGACCGCCGGCGTTTCTGCATCGCATCACAGCAAGCTGCAGCGTTTGCGAGACTTCCTGGGGGACGGCGACGATGTCGCTGAGGTGGCTGTGCAAGTGCATGAGGTGGCGAAGTCGGTGGAGGAACTGGTGTTGAAAGCCAGAGCCAAATTGCAACAACGACCAGACACCAGCTGAATGGAAAAGAAAAAATGCTGAGTTGGGAAGTGGATTGAATTTTGAGAGGAAATTGTTCGGATTGATTTATGCGCATCCCCAAGCCCGTGCGACTTGTTTGATGATAAATTTCGATTCACAACTGTGATCAGGCAGGATATCATCCACATTCTGTTCGAAGCGAACAGAAAGATGAAACTGGTCAACATGGTTTCAAAGCCTGCAACAACTTCAAGTCACTTGAGTATGAAGCTTTAAGCGCAGCATTTGAGACATAGCAGCGATGAAGTGTTGAACCCAAGAAGCACCTGCTCCGCTTGCTCAACTGAAAAGCTCAGATTGGCCTCTAACAGATCAGAGCATTATCCATTTTGGCAAAGTTGTCAATTTGGGGGTTGCCACGCACTCTTTGGGTAACAGCAACAGAGTAACAGATTACTCTGGATCAACCGTTCAACCCCCTTAGTCGGTGGTTAAAGCATGTTAGTCGGTTCCCCGGTTTCCCTGCAGATTTTCCCAACTCGGTGCACCAAGTTGGCCAGGATCGCCTTACCAAAGCCTCAGCAGATCGGTCAGATTTGATTGCGGAGGTGTTGCCCGGGGGCTTCGGAGCCAGCGACAAAGAACTTGGTTTGAAATGTGGGGATTTGACATGAATTTTATATCATGATTTATCAATGAAATCGAAATTAAATAGAAGTTTGAAGCCCTGATTGAAAAATTGTGATACTCCCTAATTTGGCTGAGAAAGTCATGTTCCCTATTTTGAAGTATATTAATCAATGACTATAACATAAGGTACACACTTTTTGACATCCGCAAATGAGGGCCATCTCTACGGCTGTTGTCAGATGAGCACGAACTGGATTCTGGTTGTAGGATGGCGACTTCTTGCAGCCTGTCTTACTGGCCCAAAGGCTTTAAAATCTGGTGAGCTACCAACGATACGATATATGATGTTATTTAATTTGATTATTGTGTTAATATGATATTATATGATAGGATTAATATGATTAATATAGTCATAATAATATTTAATAGGACATGATTTATATGACGTTCCAAAATGGCTGCACCTTGGCATCAGCACAGTTGGAAGTGGAACATCCCCACAGACCGACTACTTGACCATCGATTCATCGCTTCACGAACGGCACGCGTCCACTAAAGCGCAGCTGGGTGGCAGTTGAGGAAGTTGATATCCAGTAATTAGCATTGATCATCTGATCATGATTGCTAATTACACATGATTCAACATACTTGTATACATTGAAAGGTATCATTTACTGTAAATTTCTGTAAATGGGTTTGTCCGAAAACAGAGTACCCCAAAAATAAATTGGTTAATTGATCATTTTCCACCAAAGCAACGCCAATGAAGTACCCAATTTCTGGACATGTTGGTGGGAACCTCTGAGCACCATCAATCAAGGCCGGAGAACCAAAAAGCCTTTGCCAGCGACAGGTGCGCCCCTTGGGGCCCCTTCAAACGTTCAATAGTTCAACTCCAAATACAACGTTTGCCTCCTCAAATTCCACCATCCCCATATTTTTCCAAGGGACACTCAAATAAAAACCCAACAGGTTCAACCGAAGATGTAAAAGGTAGTCTAAAATCCGTACGAACAAACCAAACCAGCAGGCATGCCAGGCCAAACCGTTTCCCTATCGAGTTGAAGCCATGATTTGTGACGTCAACCAACCCTTGCCAGGGTCCAAGCCAACCTAGCGGCTTCGGGGAAGAACACCATGCCACAAGCTGACGTGGAGGTGAAGGTGGGAGCCCCACCTGAATTCAGGGTGGGAAAAAACGGACAAATTGGAAGCGACACTGGAGCCGTGCAAAAGGTTTTTTCCCCACATCATTGATCATCATTGTGTGGGGTTCTTGTTTTTCCGCTCACACAACTTTGTCACACCAAACTCTATCACACGCAACATTGTCACATACACGTACACCGCTTGCACTCATACATAACCCTTCCACACACAACTTTGTCACACTCAACTCTTTCACACGCAACTCTGTCACACACAGCTCCTTCACACAACTCTTCCACAAACAACTCTGTCACACACACGCACAAATCTTTCCCGCGCAACTCTTTCACACAACTCTTTCACATACAACGCTTTCCCACGCAACTCTTTCACACACAACTCTATCACACATACACACACACCTTTGTCACACACAACTCTCTCACACACACAACTCTTTCACACGCAACTCTTCCACAAACAGCTCTGTCACACACAAATTGTCCCACACAGCTCTTTCACATACAACACTTTCACACACCTCACTTTCGCATACGACTGTTGCACACAACCGGTCCTCCACCATCTCCTTTGTTGTTCTTGCCTTTCCCATCCCACTTCCACATCTGTTTGGCACTATGGGAAGAAGTTGACATGTGGTGTTATCCGGTCCTTTGATCAATTGTTTAAAGGTATGTTTTGTATTAACTGCATTATATTTTACATGTGCTAAGCCTGCCAAGCATATTTATTTCCATCATAAATCATCACAAAATGGATGAAATTTTGGTCGCCCCAGGCGCCACCGCCATTGGGCGACTCGGTCAGGCCAGCAGGGAGAATTTCGTAGGTCCATAGCAGTCCATACTGGTAATCAGATTATGAGGGATTCATAGAAAACAAACGTACAAGTTGAAAGACTTTCCAAAACGCAGACGTGTGTTTCATGGAAACACCAAAACGGTGGGTAGTGTTTTTGGGGTCACGATATTTTTGAGAAGCTTTAGGGTTTCTGATGTAGATCAGGACAAGTGGCCCGGACATGCGAAATTTTTCGGAGCTCTTTGGGACGGAGATGGGCCGACGTGCGCAGCCCATCACGGAACGACAGGAGCTGCTGGGACGAGGTGATGAGGTTTTCCATCAAAAGCTTTCATTGGTTTGGTTCAAGGGAAGATCAACAGAAAACCACGGGGTTTCCCATGAAATATATTCAAATATTGGATTTTCCTGCAAAATTTCCCTTGAACCAATCTATTGAAACTTGTGCCAGATAGATTCTTAATATTAGTTCAGTTGATCATTTGATCGTGGGTATATGTATATGATATATAATGTAACTCAACGTGTTGAATATATATATATATTATATACAGTATATATGTGGATATGCTACAGATAGTGTTGATTTTTGACACTATGCATGCCGATGTTGAACCGCATCCGATGACCTCCAGGATTTGTTGGGTACTACGAAGTGTTCGTTCCTGGACTTTCGAAACGAGATCGAATCTGCTCGAAAGGATCCCGGAAGGCGTGGCAACGGATCTTGATGCAGAAGGATTTTAAAGGTTGCAATGCTTTGCTGCACACTTGGAGTGAATATATTTCCCAATTTTTTCCCACGATGTGTTGGAGTTTTGGCTTTGGGTTTCCTCCCCTGTGTCGTCACCGTCACAACTGGCGACAGGATCTCTCAAGCAGATTCACCTCGAAATCGGAAGGAGGCTGAGATGTCCTCGACCCTGGCTGCTCTCCCTGTGGCCGCAAAGGTGCCAGAACTGCAGCAGGCCCGGGCTGGGGCTGCGAAGGAAGACATTTTTTCTCGAAGAAAAGCAGGGGGTCAAAAGGCTATGTATGCAGCCAGAAATCTGGAAATGGTGAAAAGTCATCATAGTTCATCTTCCACCATCCCTTTCCATTGACATCATCATCATCTCATCATCTTTTGATTCATGATTCATGATTGTTAGCGTTCCATCGACTTGTCACCGTGGTAGTTGATCCCTAGGCGATGGACGCAGAGCGTGGATTCTGGGATAGCAAGGATGGCTTTGGCATCGGTGCGGAGGTCTCCCGTCCTCCCGGCCTGTCGCCGAGCCGCCGAGCCGCGGAACAGCACGACACCCATCGAAAATTCAGCATCTCTTGCCTTGGCATTTTTTCCCATTACTCAACTTGCAAGAAGTGGAGTAGAATCCCATTACAATCACGTGAATCACATGGGTGGGCCTTTCAATGCCAGGTCGTCGGCGAGAGAAGGACTTTCGCAAGGAGCTGGGGTCTTCGCGCTGGCCGTGGGTGTTTTCGGATTGAAAGTAGGAGCCAGACTCTGGGTCTGAAAATCGGAGTGAGTACACCATGGTACACTGGTACACTCCAAATTCAGTAGTAAATCATAATTTTCCATCATTTCCCCATAATTAATATGTTTTTATAACTTTTTAATGTTCCCCACTAAAGTGGCGATTTGATCCCTGGCCTCCCCCAATTGGCGCTGAAAGACGTAGCCACTTTCCACTTCCCCCACAGGATTTTAAAGGAGACGTTCACCATTTGCAGCGGAAGCAAGAATGCCTGGGCTCTACGCAGGCCGCACCTGGCAGACGATAGAGGCAATATGGCAATCCAAACATGTGGCAAACATCAATAATAAAATTAAATAGATGATAATACATGACCATAAACGATTAACTGTAGAGCTTCGCACACCTGCCATGAGTGTTATGTATAGTAGTGTGAGCGTTGGTGTTGTTCATGTGCTCTGCGCGTGCGCGCAGGTGCAGAGCACAGTGTGATGTTCTTGTCATACCGCAGCTTGTAACCATTTTACCACATCTTTTTGTCGCATTATTGTGCTTCTTCTTGTTGTTGTTGTTCTTGTTCTTGTTCTTGTTCTTGTTCTTGTTGTTGCTGCTGGTGGTGTTGTTGGTGTTGTTGGTGCTGTTGTTGTTTTTACTTTTCTTCTTCTTGTTGTTGTTGTTCTTGTAACACAGCTTAATTTTCGCATCTTTGTGGACCCCTAAAATTCGTCAAATAGGGTGTGTTTTTGACACTCTCGGGGCAAAAAACATTGTAAATACCAATGGATTTTTCCACCTCGGAAGCCCAAAACCACGGTATTTATCATGTTGTTTTGCCTCTGGTAGCAAAAATCACGGTATTTACAATGTTTTATGATGCTGCTGCTGCTGCGGCGGCCGCGGCTGCGGCTGCGCCAGTAGATTCCGGAAACTCGTCTTCCCTGGCGGGCTCCCCCTTGCGTCGGCAGGGGTCGGCGGATAATGATGATATGATTTCATACATCATCCCAGATACCATGAGATAACCTCAGAAGTTATCATGAGAGTAATTTTCTGAATGATTTTGATGGAAGAAGTTTGGGATATTCTGGGATTGTTCTTTCATGTCATGTTCCAAGCTGAAAGGCGACAATATATATGTATAGTTATAGATTATATATATATGATTATATGTATATGATTATATATATAGATGATTATATATATATATATATAGTGATCGATCTAAAGGTCCTTGTAAGAAGTTTTAATTGCGAAAGCCGTGCATGTTATGTTGGAAACGAGTTCGCGAGAATAACATTTTTTTCGCGAAAGTTTCGCGGAAGTTGGATATTATAATCATTATGTAAAGGGCTGCCGCCCACTGCCGCCCGGGGTCAAGCAGGAGAAGGACACTAGAGAATTTTGGTTTGGTTCTGGTTCAGTTCCCTGTGTGGTGGTGCTTGTGGACAATCACACCCTTCATAGGATTTCATAGGTAGCAGCCGAGCTTCCAAAGGCGAGGCTTCGCGACAGCCAAACGCCATGGTCCTGAAGCACATCCGTACACCTGACGCTGTCACTGCCTAATGATGCTTTTTGAAGTCTCAAGAAACAAACTCCAAACCCAGCAGCCAAGTTTCCAAAAGTCATGCTTTGCGAGAGCCAAACACCAAGGCCCCTGGTGTTCGCTTTTCCTTCAATGCACCCCCTGCTGATGGCAGGGGTCTGTGAATAGGGATATTTTCGCGAAAGTTCCGCGAAAGAGCGAGCGAAAGTCAAAGTGCATGTTGAAGGGGGTGGGCCAGTAGACCTTGCAAAAAAAAACTAGTCAGCAACAATCTGCCCTGAGAAGGGATTCTGTGATGCTAGCTGCATGTTTAAAAGGCTATCAAGAAGTGATCCGTGATTCTCTGGCGTAATTTGGCAGGCGGTGAACGAATCTTCATAAGAGGTGTTGTTGGCCAACATGGGCCCCGCGAAAGATAAACATGGAGTTCGCGAAAATTTTGCGAAAGAGATTCTTTATTCATGAATATATACATATATATTTCCTGTATAATTGCATTTACATTTACATTTATATATATATATTTATTTATTTATATTTGTATTTACATATACACAATATTATATAATGTCATATTCTTTCAAATGTCCGGAAAACTTCGATAATCTGTTCCAAACTGCGATTTCCCAGGTGAAAGAAAACATCGGCCTGGACTCTACGTGCGACGCATCATCCAGGAGGGAGGTGGGGTTCTCAGGACCGAAACTAGTATCATCGTGCGCCATCCATATCTTAGTTGACTATGAATTGACGCTGTTAATTTTTAAACCTTCCAACCACCTCAAGGAGCTAAGTTGGTGCCAAAACGCGATGTTTAGATGATTTTGATTGATTTTGGATGGTCTGTAAATGTTTGCGCGCGAGTCATCATGTTTTCCGTATCAGATTCTCCATGGTTTTGCAACCATGGCCCAGGCACTTGAATCAGCTCGCAGTCAGTCACTTGGCATGGTGCAGTGGACGTCATCCTTCCAGATCAGGAAAAAAATGACCAAGAGTTGGTCACGTATGGTAGGATCCGCTAGGAGCTGGTAGGATCTCATGATGCATGAAAGAGAATCTTGTTTTTGCGAGACCTGTGGCGTTTGCAATTTTGCGAAGGCAGAGGCTGAAGGCTCCACATTCGCCCATCAAGCACTCAGGCGGGGAGTGAGGCCTCGATTGATATTATGAATACCGAATGCCATGAGATGATTGTGAGATGCATGTTTTTTATTGTTTTTTCAGTGGTTCAGGTGCCACATTTTTTGCAGCTTAAGGTGCCAAGCGATCTGAGCCTGGGTTCGGTATCAGAATCATCGCAGGTTCGGTAGCAGCTTAAGGTGTTCAATGACGCCGCAAAGGTTCATGAAGGAATATATCATATGGGTGAATGAGTGAATGACCCATGAGGTCGTCGGTTTGTCCTTAGATTGGGGAATTGACATACTGCATTGAACGTTGAGGATCTTTGAGATGTATAGTGTCCTTCAGGAGGCATGTATGTCATATTGAAACGGCATCAACAGCTGTTTTTCAAAGGGTTGCAACTTTCATGTTTTATGGAATCGATTCCCTACCGTTTTCGCAATGGAAAATGATGGAGCTCACTACAGCAGATTGGTCCCCACAGATGAAGAGCCCGAACCCTTTGTGAAAGTCAACGTTCATGACATAGACGCTCCCACGGATCAGAAGAGTTCCACACCTCACCGACAAGTCTACATCTATGTGAAGGTATGTAAACGTCTTCTCATTGTCCGTGGCGCAAACTTTTGAACCTGTCATGAACTGCGTCACCGGTTGAAATCAGCGACGTTGAACTCAGTGCTTGTCCCTGGCGAAAAGGGCCTTTGGGCCTTTGGTCAGATTGCCGAGGGACCTTCAGGGAAGGCTTTGAGCTGGAGCACTTTCCCTTCGACGTCCAGGCTTTAACAATCACTGTGAGTTGTAATCGACCTTCTTCAGAGGTCACTTTGCTGAAGATCGCTACACAGGTGCCAATCCTGCGGAACCAATTCACGGTGATGACGGACTTCGATCTTTCTGGCCCATTGATGCAAGGCGGAGTTGATAAGAAAAGATATCCTTTCCATCCTCTACTTCATAAATCTTCCATAAAATGTACTTCATTGGACAGAGAAGGGCAGCATGTCATGTGGAACATTGGCCTGGTGCGCATGAACTGAAAATCTGGCGGATCGCCTCAGTGTGACCTTGGTACCTCGGTGGCCTTCAAATATACGTGTGTCTGAAAATAGTATACCCCTAAACCCAATGGTTAATGATCATTATCCTCTATTAAATGGCTATAATTGGGAATGTACCCTATTTTCAGACAAACCCATATATGATGGCTCAAGAGCTGCCAAAGATCAGTTACCTAACTCTTTTGGACAAATACACTCTGCTGAGATTCACTTTTCTGGCCTTGCTGGGTGGACAAAACACCTTAACTGCTGTGGTGAAGGTGGATTATGGCAACTTTCCCATTGTGGATGTGTCCAGGTATATGATTGAGACCATTTTTCTGCTGATCCATGTGCTTCTGGGAGCCCTGAGTTTGCATTATATGTTTCTCGGGTCGAAAAAACTGGCCCGATTGCAGGAGGTTTGCTCGGCAAGTGACGATGCCCAGCAATAGAAATTGCCATGAGTTGGGCCAAGAGCTGTTGGATATGACATGTAGTATCCACCTCACTAGTCAACCCATGATTTGTTGAATTTGTTGCTGGACACGTTGGTTTCTTGAATCTCTGCGCATATACATTCTTGTGGCTTGCGGGACAAAGAATCCTCAGCTACTTAAATTCAGCGACCAGGGCTGCTAGTTGAATTGAGTGTTGCAGGAGAGGAAATGATTCAGAGTACCTTGGAATGTCACGACTACCGTGTCTAGCTGTCAGGTTGCAGATTGCACCAACTCGTGTTCCCAGGATTTCTCAGGTGTGTTTTGGATTACACCAGTGGGGCGCAGAAATCTTCATAAATCTTCCAACATTTGACAAATTGGATGTTAAATTGTATGATATAATCTTCCAACATTTGACAAATTGGATGTTAAATTCTATGATATAGAAATATATATAGAATATATTATGCTGTATTTTTTTCGATCCAACTGAAGATGATCAGCAAAAATCAACGAGTTTCCGTGTCAGGCGTGAGCGCGGCTCAACGTGAGGATTTGCTGCGCAGGGCCAAGGCTTGGCGATGCCGAATGGGATCATGTTAAGGGGGGGTCCTAAAATGGTGCCTCAAAATGGATGGGATAAAAAACCATTTATAAAATGTTGGATGGTTTAGAACCATTTATTTTCTATGTTACAGTACAAAAGTTGTTTACAAAAGTTGTTTACAAGTGAACACCTATCTATAAATGGATGATGCAAGGGTTACCATGCAAGGGGGTAACCCCATTTCAGGAAACCTCTAAATATAATTCCCTCCGAATGAGTTTGATTTTGTGTAGGTGCAAGTGACAATGGATTTGCTCCAGGCGAACATATTCAGCTTTGCCCCCATGTCACGATATTTTCGTTGGAGGTGACATGAGGTGACATAAATCTGATAAGAGTAGCTCTTGATAGCTCTTGATTTGGCGTAGGACACGAAGCTGGCATCCTTACAGTCCTGGCCTCACGATGTTCCTTTTTGACATTGTTTACGGCAATGGAAGTTAGAAGATGTTTCTTCGGAGACTGAGAAGTTGCAGATTCTGCCTAGAAAGGTTGTGAAGACATCTTCAAAATTGGATCCACTAAATCAATATGAATCCAATGATTCCAACAAGATGTTTTGTTCCAAAGACATGTCTTTGCATTTTGTGGATTCAATCATCACCAAGGTCCAGCATCTTCACCTGATTGGGATCCGAAGTCGACATGTCCTGAATGTCAGTGAGCTAATGTGGCGTCATGTGGCCTAGAGATAGCATGTTGCTGGCAGGTATGGTGAAACATGGTGAAACACCTTTGAAACACCTTTGAAACACCTGGCAGGAACTTGGCATGTTGAAATATTTGATCTTTGATTAGCTAGCACATCCTTGCACCATCTTGCACCTATGCCTGTCCAGAGTCTGTGAAACTATGGGTAGAAGGACAATGTAACTACCTGCATGTGCGCAACTGCACATGTAGATTGAGCGGGAGGGCTGAATTGCGCTGGATGTGCCAGTGATAGATTTCGATTTTCTCACTTGCAGGATGTTGAGTGTCCTAAGCTCAAAAAAAAACAACACCTTCGTTACAAGCGCACTGGTGGACAAGTACTAGCTTGACCATTGTGAGAAAGTCGCCAGTTAGTTCGCTGCAAAGCCCAGCTTACGTTTCGAAACGCCCAACTGGAAAAAAAACGACATATTATTAGCCTTCAAATATAAATTATATATAATTATATAATTAATAAATTATATCACCAACCTTTTCGTGGGATGTAAGCAAGGGAGACTTACATTTTTTCTGTGTGCTCTTCTGGCTGGTATCGGTCACACCGTGAAAATCACGATGTTTGCCCTCGAAAAGTCGAAAAGTTCACATGCCAGGAGATTTCGGCTCGAAAAGTCGAAAAATTCGAAAAAATCGAAAAGTCGAAAAGTCGAAAAGTCGAAAAGTCGAAAAGTTCGAAAAATTCGAAAAATTCGAAAAGTCGAAAACTTTTTGGCTTTTTGACTTTTTGCGAAAATTTTCCCTGGAAGAGTGATAAATTCCGTGGGTTTTGGAGGCATTGGAGCACAGGCAGTATCCACGCACAGGGCTTTTTATGGTTGTTTGGTTGCTCTTTCCCGGTCGAATGGTTGGTTACTTTCCAGGGGAGCAGGAAACTTGCAATCAGTGTATCAGGATTAGATTTTGTGTTGCTAATGTAATTAGTGGGTTTCTCTATTTTTTTGTGTTGATTTTGTGGTTTTTGAAAGCTGGATACTGAAAACCCACAGAATTGCTGAGCAGGTATTTGGCTCAGGGCTACCAGGGCCACTGCTGTCACTAACTGTCTTGAGTTGCAACCAATTTAGAGGCCAATGCAACTCAGCTTGCCACATCTTGCTACCAGTTTAGGGGGCAAATAGCACTCTCCAAGCGTCTCAAGATTTGTTTCCAGCTACTGTGCCGGTTTGAGGAGTGAAACAGTGTTCGGCGCAGCCAAACTGAGGCTTTCTGGTTGTGTCGCAGGAATTCCACAGGGATGGGGCAGCATGACCCTGATCAACCAACAGGGTTTTGATCAGTTTTGCCTACAACTACTAACTAGGAGCACGGCCTCTAGAAGGCCGTGGGTTTTTTGTGATCAACGGGGTGTCATGGATCATATTTGATGCGCTCGTGCAAATAGGAATTTGTTTGATGTGATATTTAAGGCCGTTAACCCCTTATTCTGGTGCAGTTTTTTCAAAACAGGCATTTCGCCTAGACGAAACTAACATTTTTGTTTTTTTTGCCGATTCTGAAACTAATTCGACGTGACATGTTTTGCGTTATCTTTTGACGTACGAATGGAAAGTTCAAGAGTACCTACAGTAGCGTAGCATGACGCATGCATGGAAAGTTCAAGAGATCTGACAGTAGCGTAGCATGACGTATGCATGGAGAGTTCAAGAGATCTTACAGTAGAGTAGCATGACGCACGCATGGAAAATTCAAGAGATTTGATAGTAGCGTAGCATGACGTATGCATGGAGAGTTTAACAGAACTTACAGTAGCGTAGCATGAGGCATGAGTGGAAAGTTCAAGAGAACTTACAGTAGCGTAGCATGACGTATGCATGGAAAGTTCAAGAGATCTTATAGTAGCGTAGCATGACGTATGTATGGAAAATTCCAGAAAATTTACAATAGTGTAGCATGACGCATGAATGGAAAGTTCAAGAGTACTTACAGTAGCGTAGCATGACATATGCATGGGAAATTCAAGAGAACCTATAATAGCCTAGCATGATGCATGAATGGAAAGCTCAAGAGAACTTAAAGTAGCGTAGCATGAGGCATGAGCGGAAAGTTTAAGAGAACTTACAGTAGCGTAGCATGACATATGCGTGGAAAGTTCTAGAAAACTTACAGTAGCGTAGCATGATGCATGAATGGAAAATTCAAGAGTACTTACAGTAGCGTAGTATGACACATAAATGGAAAATTTAAGAGTACTTATAGTAGTGTAGCATGACACAAAAATGAAAAAAATTAAGAGAACTTACAGTTGCGTAACATAACATATGCATGGAAAGTTTAAGAGAACTTATAGTAGCCTAGCATGACACATGAATGGAAAGTTTAAGAGAACTTACAGTTCAAGAGAACTTACAGTAGCATAGCATGACATATGCGTGGAAAGTTCAAGAGAATTTTCAGTAGCGTGGTATTAGGCATGAGTGGAAAATGCAAGAGAATTTATAGTAGCTTAGCATGACACATGAATGGAAAATTTAAGAGAACTTACAGTAACGTAGCATAACATATGCGTGGAAAATTTAAGAGAAACTTCAGTAACGTGGCAAAAAAAGAATAACAACATATATAAAAATCCACTGATTTTGCTTGGATATGACATGTGCAATGTATTTTATATTTAATAAAATTGGATTTTGAAAATTATATATGCGTTTTTGATAAAATAATAACAATAAATAAATAAGGAATAATTGCATAATTCTGAGTTATTATGATATTGATAATGTATATATTAATTAATATATACCTATATATATTGACTAGCACTAAAAAATATAGCATAATATA